GAAGAAGCAAACAAACCCTGCAAGACCCATCGGAAATGGGGAAAAAACACACCAACAAACAAACCTCACAAAGACCCATCACAGCATAGAAACATAGTCCCACCACCCAGCCCTAAACCACCCTGCAAAACCCACCCAGAACAGTTTTTTAAAAACAGAAAGCAGCACCTTACCTTACCAGCCTCCTCTGATCGAAAGAGCTACAAAGAAACAGCCTCTTCGCCTACCCTCCTCTGATCGTGCACAATCTAACCGTTGGGGCAAAAGAGCTACAAAGAAACAGCCTCTTCGCCTACCAACTGTTAGCAATTTGAACTCCCCGCCTTTTTTCCTTGCTTTTTTTTGGTTGTAACTGGAAGCTCCCGCCGCAAGTTGAAGCAAAATTTTGCGGCCGGAGCTGGTCGTAACTCGAAATGGTCGTATGTCGGGACATTTGTAAGTTGAGGCACCACTGTACTGAAGTGGGTCAGGATGAATTCTAGCCCCTTTTGTTTGCAAAGCACAAGCAGAAAGTGCTTTGGTTTTCACCCTGGTGGTGGGAAAGTATGAGATTTTTACTGTTAAGTGTGTTTCCTTGCAGAACATTGAATCCTCCTTCTGAGAGCATTCTTTCCAATCTCCTTTTGCCAATTCAGCTTTGTTCTTCCTAACGTTTCACCAGTCTCTGTGGCCGGCATCTTCAGAGGACAGCACTCTGTGCTCTGGTGCAGTTTGTTTGGGAGTTGAGTATTTATGGTTGTGAGATCAGCTTTTGTCCTTTTCAGGAGATGGGTGATTATTGTGATCAGTGTGTTTTTGTTGTGGGTGTATTGTTGTGATAAGGAGGAGAGATTATCTGTCATTGTGATTGATGGGTGTCGTTAGCTAGTCTATTGTGTGTAGTGATCCCTGGTCCTCGTGGCTGGGTAGAGTTCGTTGACCTTTTGCATGCTGTATTTTTCAGTGCTGGGATCCAAGTTTTGCTGAGTTTCAAACTTTCTTCTTTCTTGTTGAAGTTCTGCTGATGCTTGTGGATTTCAATGGCTTCTGTGTGCAGTGTGATTGCTGGTGTTGTCCAGTATTTCAGTATTGTGAAATAGAATTTCATGTCCAGCTTGTTTTAGGGCATGTTCAGCTACTGCCAATTTTTCTGGTTGTTTTAGTGTGCTGCTTGTATTTGTTGTAGTATCTGTTGCATGGAGCATTCCCCATTTGCAGCAGTTCATTGAAGCAGTAAGCCAATGGAGGCGGCTGCATGAAAGACTACAGGAAGCACTACGAAACACTATTATTACCATACCAGTTCATTTCCAGGCAGTGACTGATTGCCCAAACAGAACTACCATATTAAAATGAATTTCGTCACAAACATTTGCCGCTGATTTTAAGTGCTTTCCTGGCTGACCAGAGTGCCTGATGGCCACAGACATTTCTTGTAACATCATCAGGGCAGAGACCCCTTTGCTCTCTCAGTCAGGAAGGACCAGAAATTGGGCTGGTTGTCAAGACCAGGTGTGAACCTTTGGTAATGGGGAAAATATATGCTGAATGCAGAGCAGCTGTTTACTGTCCATTCACAGCATCCGTGAATGTTAGGGTTAAACAAATGAGATGGCAATTGCTTTGTACTACAGTAAACCAGAAATTCCTATAATGGAGTGGACTGTAGAAGTGGATATTTTGTGGGGTCGGTGGAAAAAAAATTGGGAATATGGCTTATTTCAAAATGGAATAGAGAACTGGGATACGTGATATTTGATAGTGACTACTTCCTGGTTCTGATCAAATATCTAACTATTCAGAGTTCGATCCTATGTGAGATGTTCTGTGGTAGCTACAATATCTGTTGCATGGAGCATTCCCCATTTGCAGCAGTTCATTGAAGCAGTAAGTCAATGGAGGCGGCTGCATGAAGGACTTCAGGAAACACTACGAAACGGGCAGTCTTCTAAGAAGTCCTCACCCCACCAGGTTTTCCTATGGCTCTTTGAATCTTCAGTTGTCTTGAAGATTTGAATTGCTTCCTTTTCATGGAAGGAATGTACAGCCTTCTCTTCTGAAGGCTGTTCAAGTGCTTGTGAGAGGGACATTTTAGATACATGTCTCCCTTCAACAACATTGGGGTTGACTCAGACCCCCATGGAGTTTAAAATATGTACTATAACTCTTATGCCTCAAAAAATGTAACTACAAAGCATAAACAGTTGAAGATTTGAATTGCTTCCTTTTCATGGAAGGAATGTACAGCCTTCTCTTCTGAAGGCTGTTCAAGTGCTTGTGAGAGGGACATTTTAGATACATGTCTCCCTTCAACAACATTGGGGTTGACTCAGACCCCCATGGAGTTTAAAATATGTACTATAACTCTTATGCCTCAAAAAATGTAACTACAAAGCATAAACAGTTGATTNGCACCATCAGATTGGGGCTTGCCGCAGGTTCCTAGGTAAGCCCAGGGCCAACATTCCTCCTCATTTTTGTTCATACTGTGTGGGAGCCTCGCCCTATGTGCATGTGGAGGGGAGGGTCTTTATCCAAAACAGGAAGTAAACAAACCAGCTGCTGGGTGCCTGTCCACAGCCTAGATGGAGCTCTGTGCATGCACATGCACACCTTAGAGAGAACGTTGCCCAGCACCCACCTTTCGCAGGCCAGTTCCTGAGAAGGCGATGAATAGCAGCACTCTTTTTGTG